TTATTAATTTGGGTTTAAAAACAAGTTTTCTTTCATTTAGTGTGAGTATTGGTCTAACATTGAAGAAGAGTTTTACGAGTTTTTACCCTTTTTTAAAAAAAAGTACAAAAAAAGGGTAAGAATCGAAAATGATCTAAGAATTTTATTTTTGGTTACTATTTTTTTCTTAATACTTTAAAAGTTTTATGTTTTGGGTGGGAGAGAGAGAGAGAGTGCAGTAATGGCAATGAGACATTTTTTGGTCTGCCATGCAACAACAAAGTAATATGGCAGAGAGAATATTCAATTCAGCGGGTATATCATGTCAGAATTATTGACATAGTATTATCAACTAATAATAAAATTTTAAATAAGTAAAGTGAATGTAAATTGAATAGTTTTTAACTAACATGAAAGCATAGTGGTTAGTTATCTCCTTACATGGAAGGAAAATTATTGATTTATGTGATATCCACTTTTCTATTTATCCATATATTATTAGTTGGTGATATCATAAAACATGATGATATGATATTATAGTTATAATAAATATTTTTTCGACGAGAGGGTAACGGTTGATCCATCACATTTAATTTACCCATAAATACTAGATTGTTGCTGATATCTGCCAGGGTTTATATGTTATCAACCGACAAACACAAATGACATTTTTGTAGAAAATTCATAAAAACCAGAACTTGGGTTTGGGTTCGAAGGAGGCACTCTTTTCTTTCATAAAAGGTACACAACTGTACTATAATATAATGGAACTCAATCATGTCTCTTTGTCGTATTCTTTCCCAAAACCTTACTTGTTTCTTTTGAATTGTTTGAAACTCAATTATGTTTATTTTTCAAAACATATTTTGCCAAATATCATACTGCAATTAGAATCCAAGAAGACCAGCGAGTTCAAGCACTACCTATAAAAGAACATAACCTTTAATGGACAAAATGAGGGTTTATCAATCAAGTTGAAAGTAATGATTTAGAAGAGTAGATGCGAACTTATCGATCAATGGGAAAGTAATCCTTGTATTTCATATCCCACTTCCAAATTTGTGATAATTGAGGAGAAATCTTGAACAACATAATGTAAGAGTAAAATAAAACATAAGAGTTACATGGCATTTTTGACTAATTTGTTTGAATAAAAAGATGTACTATAACGACATATTTCATGTGTTTAACACAAAAAATAATGTCAAATTATAATTGTTTGACTTGATTTAATCAATTTGTGTTGACTTTTTTAGCGTGCTGTGAATTATATTTTGATTCTTGGGGAATTTGGCGAAAACGAAGGTCGGATCAACGTGATTCTTGATTTTAGATTTGGTATTAATTTTGGTAGATCTTATCACTATTTTTGGTGTTGATCGACTCAAAGATGATTTGAATTTCTCAAATCAAGACCTTGGCAGTGTGTTCTTCCTTTCATTGATAGATTTGCAAGACTTCGATTGAAAGTAAACATTGATAGAACTTCACTGTTGATTTTTTTTTCTCCTCTTGATATGGACTCGGGGCAATGCTTTCTGACGCGAGGTGGTCTGTCAAACCAACCAAAGATAGACACGTGACACATTCTGTCAATAATGATAGAAGTAATGATTCGTGTGATATGATATGCTTGCCCTCGAAGCTTCATCAGGGGGGATGAGCACTAAGATTCCCACGGTGCCTACGATGGGATTTTGGGAATTTCATGCCAAGCGATGCTGACCTCAACATTATTGCTAGAAATGCACTAGGGTCTCCCCAATGTTACCATGAACACCAACGAAGGATCTTCTCAATTCATACCAAAGATTGTTGAGATCAAGAGGGTCAAAATATAGACAGAGAATAGGTTGATGAGGCTAAGAAACAATTTACTTTACACATCGACCACTTCAGTCGACATATTGGAAGACAACTAGATTTTCATTGAAATCGCCCACATGAAAATAAACGAAGAAATGTCTTACGAGGAATTGTGTTCAATTGTCAAATGGCGTGGATCTGTTATCCCACGTTGTCAGATCCAATAGGATCACTGAGACAAATCATGATAGAAATATTTAAGGATGCAATTAATGCTCTTCATGAGCATGACAAGTGAGTCACAGGCATTTAATTCTCGAGGGGCAAGTATAGGGAGTACATTAATCCCTCGACGCACTATGTAATGGCGAACATTTACTCCCGTAGAGCATGTTGTGTAACGTTATATCTCGTAGTGAATGCTCGACATGAGTGTCAATGATCGACCAGTATCTAGATGCCGATGGGTTAATATCATTAATGCATGTTGGATTGACATGCATACAAAGGATCAAGTATCGAAGTCAAAAGGGCGCCTTGTTCAATGTCTAGCCACTTGACAAATTCAAAGAAACATCCACTATGAGTCAATTAGGGTCCTCCCACCAAAGAGGATTGTATGAATATTCTCGATAGGTGTACTTGTTCACCAGAAAAATATAACTAACACTCTTAAGCAAAAACAGACGGCCTCCCTTATAACCCTTTCTTCATGATCCTCAATGTTTTCGGCGTTCCCAAACTCAAGAGAAACCTTTGAGTGTTAGTCAAAGTGCTGTTTTCTCAATATTATGCAAGAAATCATCCATACACTTTCTTAATCTCTCATTCTCCTTGGTTTCCCTTTTGTTGGCCTTCCCTTAAATCTTCTATTTATAGAGTTGGAAGTAGTTATCTATATAAGAGTATTTTACTTGAACACTCCTATACGAGCATATTTAGTTAGTCAACATATAAATTTATGGACTTTAATTGATTTATATTATTTGAATTTATAAAATTTAGATCCATCCAAGACATAGACATTATTTTAATTATTAATTTTTTAAGTTTGTAGGAACATGAACTTCATCAATACTACTAATAAAGACCGAGAAGAGGGGTTTGGTGTCTACTTCTAATTTCTTATTTAATTTTATTTTACCGTTCCTCTAATAAAATATCAATATTACTCTTTATTTACTTTCAAATAACAATCTAACCCTTTTTTTTAACCCTACTCAACTTCTTATTTTTTCTTCACATGAGTATTTATGCATGCATGTTTGGCATATACATTTCTTCATAAGGAAAAAATATAAAAATTTAACCTAAAAAATAAAAAAAGAAAACTTTCTTTTCTAGGGGTTAATACCTTCGGGCTGTTTGATTAGGAAGAAAAGAATGATGAAAAGTAGGGGTGTTCAAATTTTCGATTGACTGTAATTTCTTATTTTATCCGACCCTACCCTACTTAACGGCTAGCCGCAAAAATCGGGTAAAAATGCGGAAGAATTTTTAGTATTCTAATTAAATAGGGTAGGAATGCAGAATACCTATTAATTTCAACATTCCTACTCTACCCTACTCGCAAAAAATATATTTAACTTTTTTATATTTTTTTTAGTAATTATAAAAATATTTATGTGGTATAATTTATATTATAACTTTGTTATTGTTGTGGATGTTTGAGTTGCGAAAATATGGACTTGTTTTTTGTGTAGGTTACATGATTTGTGGTGAACTAGTGAATTATTGAAGCAGTTATGATCTTAATGTGTTTCATATGGTTTAAACTTAAAATAATTGTTTATATTTGTGTAACAATTATGATAGATTGATGCTCATATTTTTTTATGTTTTATTGTAATTGTTGTTGTAGTTGTTTTAGATTTTAATGTTATTAATTAATTGTGTTGTTAAATTGGTGCATGTTATTTAATTGAATTGTCAAAATAATTCAAAAATTAATAGCTACAAAAATGTTTATCCGATTTCCTTCCCGATTATTCGGGTAGAAAGTCGGGTAGGAATACCACACTTGATCGGGTAGGGTAGACCAAGAAAAAATTCTTTCGCAAAGTATCGGGAAGGAAGATGGAAGACAATATTTCCTACTTGTAGGATGAGGTGAACATTCTTAATGAAAAATGAAAATGATAGAAAGTAAAGGGAAAGAAATAAAAATGATAGAAAATATAATTTCATGTATGTATTTGGTTAGGATAAAAAATTTGCTAAAAATTTTTTTTAAAAAAAATTCATTCTATTGTTTGAAAGAAAGGAAAGTTAATTTTTTTTTTTTTAATTTACTAAATTACTCTCAATTATATTAAACCGGTTTACGAAAAAAAAAATATGTATTATTTTTAAAAGTTAAAAAATTAAAAAAAGAAAAAGTGGCTCGTAACCTAATCTTGACAAGGACCAATATGAAAGTCTTTGGGCCAAATTATATTATTGATCAAATCGATACCAATATTTTTTTTAAATTAATAACTCAAAATATTTTAAGAAAAATAAAAGTAAAATAAAAATTATTTATAAATCACAATTTTTTTGCAATTTATTTTGTTTTTTGCAAGGAAAAAAAGTTGGTAAGTTGAGAGAAAATTCAGGTATAAAAAAAATTTATTTTTTTCATTATTTTTTATTTTATGCTAACCAAATATATAAAAAATTAAAAAAATTTCTCTTTCTCTTTTTTTTTTTTGCATCTTCTATCATTCTCTTGCCAGAATTTCAGTGGCACTATAGTAAATATAACCAGCAAAGAACCCAAATATCGGCCAAATAAAAATTTGCCGTAGTCCCACTGCTCCACTTTACAGAAACGGCTGGTCAGTGCGTTAGCAAATCGTGGCATTACTCTACCACCTCCTACCAGAACCAGTACGCACGCTCTCTTTCAGCTCGTGAAGTGTACATTCCATCGCAATGCAATGAATGGCTCGATGGCTTCATGCATACCAATCGATCATCGTTTGTAATCCACGCGGACTACCCGAGGGTGGAATAGTTAATCCTTCCACTATATGCATGTCATGACATGCAGGGCATGGGGGATAAGTATGGTTCATAAAAAACATTAATGGTCATGCCAACCATCATAATTTTCCATTTTTCAACTGTTCATTACTTTCCATTTAATTATCTCTTACCATTAGATATTCATTTCATTTTATACTAATTTGTTTCCATTATATATATACACACCCTTCAATGCATTTTGACCGCTTGGGAAACGGTGAACGGCAGAACAAATTGCATCACAAGAAGCGAGAGGGACAAGAACATAGGAGAGAGAGAGGGAGAGAGAGAGGGAGAGAGAGAAATTCGAGTGGGCAGTGTAGAGAGAGAGAAAGGAAGAAGGTAATTTTTTCTTTATTTTAGTATTTCTTTGTTTAGATTTTCGATGTTTGACGATATTTGTATGGTTGTTTATGGAGATTTGCGTCGTCCAATCGTTGTTAAAGACATTTTCAGAGGTTTTTCTGACAGTCTTTAGCGGTGGAAATTGATAGCACTGACATCGATATTAAATCTAACAGATCTTTGTCATGTTGAGAGAGAAATAGTAGCCATAGATTCCTAATCCTGTATCTGTTCTTTTTCTGACTCTACACTTGAATAAGTCTATATACTGGTTTATCTAACCTATTTTTTCTTTTCTTCCCTGCTCTTAGTTTGAGATTTCTGAAGTGGGTTTTGTGAGAAAAAGTTGTGGGAGAGATTTATGCCGGCAGGGTCTGAACTGAGTTTGATTGGGGCTCCATTGAAGCTCTGGCTCTCTTGTTCTTCTGTGTTCTTTGTTCTTTGCATGCAACAACAACTTCTCTGTGTTCATCAGGAGAGCACCAACCTGTTTTTCCCAACTGTTTCGATGCGTTTGAGGCCAAAAAGGTATTAAATCTTTCTTAACCCCTACTGTTTCTTATATCTGTATGTGCATATTTTTGGTGGCTATATGTTTTTATTGTTTAGTGTGTATGTTTTTTGATGATTTTAATGGCTGATCTGAAATGGGTTTGTGTTGTTTTGGTGGTTTTTTTTGGGGTTTTTGCAGGACTTGTTCTGGAGTAGTGTATTTTGGGGGTTTTCACATAAAGCGATGTTTCTATCTCTTCTTGTTCTTAAGAGGGCCTCTTACTTGATACACCCCTTTTCCTGAGAGAATTTGTTGCTCTATATCATTTCTTCTGTGTTTTTCTTTTCTTTTCTTCCAAACACAGTTTTTCTGGTATTTTCTGAGTATAGATTAATAGAAAATGCCAGAGCCTCGTAAACAGCCACCATTGAATCAAAATAACCTCTGCAAAAAATCAAAGAGCAGAGCAAACTCTGTTCAAGCCACCAAAACCATGAGAAAAATTCGGATAATTAATTATGATCCATACGCTACTGATGCATCAGACGATGAACGAATCTATGAGGGACCATCCCTTAAACGTATTATTCGAGAGATTAAGATTCCAATTGATACTTCTCATGGACCAACCAAATCATCCAAACCTTCTAAGAGTCCAGAAATGGAGAGTTCATGTCAAGATAGCAACAATGGCGAAAAACCCTTGAACGAGACGAAGGTTTTGAGGAAAAATCCAAACCCAAGTTCAAAACGACGACGACCGTCTTCATCGATGTACAGGGGAGTTAGGCAGCGGAAATGGGGCAAATGGGCGGCAGAGATTCGAGACCCATTTCAAAGGAGGAGGATTTGGTTGGGGACTTATGATACTCGTGAGGACGCAGCTAAGGCAGTTGATATGAAGAGGCTTGAATTTGAGTCTATGGCCTCCTCAGAATTTGTCTCTCAGCCTTGTGATCAAAACCACCCTGCTGTTTCTGAGGACTCTGGGAGTGTGGTGTCTCACACATCCCCTTCTTTGGTTCTTGATTTGGAGTCTTTGACCTCTGCCTCAACTTCACAAATCAATGGAAAATCTGATATGTTTGAAGATGTTTGCATGGAAAAAATTCTTGATAATGTTGGTGTGGAGGCCAATGGAGTTGAGGGGCAGGTTGCTGATGCGGTTTTGTTGGATGATTCTTCACTGCTGGCTGAGGTTGGGCAAGGATTGAATTTGGGGATGGAGCTTGATTCGCTGTTTATCGATGATTTTGGGCAGGCTCTTGACGATTTTTGTGGACTTGATGACCTCCAAATTGTTGGGTTTGAGGATGATGGCCCGTGTGATCTGCCTGATTTTGATTTTGATTTCAATTTGGAGGTTGGGAATGAAGTGTTGGCTTGGATGGATGAACCAGCTCCCATTGTGAAAGAGCCACTCAATATTGCATGCCTATGAGTTTTGAAAGCTAGTAGGAATTAGTATTAGTAATTCACAATTAAATTATATAGTTCTGGAGAGTATCTCAAGAACAGTAAGCTGAAGTTCTTGAAAAAAGTTTTGTTCTGAGAGTTTATTTGTTTGTTTGTTGAGAGAGAGAGAGAGAGAGAGAGAGAGAGTTCATGTGAGGGATGTGAGCTCATTTCAGTTGTATGGACAGAAAAAAAATCCTTTGGGTTTCCCCGTGCTGTTAGAGCTATCCAATGGATGTCCAACCTTCCCCCCCACCCCCGTTTTCCTTTTGTCTTCCCCCCTTCTTCTCTTGTTAAGAAAGGGGACATTACTGGTGAAGAGTGTTGAGAGTTGCAGTTCATTCCTTCACTCCCTCTTATTTTGTTCTATGAATGTTATGAAACTTAAATTTATGAGGCCTAAATTATATCAGCTATGTTTGAAGTGTAAGCCTGTTCAGATTTTACTTCGATTGCCTTTCAGATTTGTTCATTGGTAAACTAGGGATGTACATCTACAATATTTTTAATTCTTTGGACTTTGGTAACTTATTTTTCAGAAGTGCGAGTATGAATTAAGTTTTTGGGAAATACTTTGGATTCGAATTTTCAAATGATTGAGATATAAAATTTGACTTAGTTAAATGAGTAGCCACTCCGCATGAGTGGGTAATGTTGAAAAAATTACCGGAATTCACTGATATTAGTGCGATTTGGATCTCCAATTTGGGATTCATAGCATTGCTCGACTTTTTAATGAATTACTGTGCTAGAAATTTCAAGTCTTTTCATTGGGAAAGTTATAGTTGGAATTGGGGGTTGATAGTTACACATTCCTGCTACTTTCTTCTTTTTGTTCTGTTTCTATTTATGTTGCCACAGTGAAATTGGGCTGCTACTAAATAGTGGTAATACTTAATCAGCCTGTATACTTTGACCAGGAAGTCTCAGCTATACAGCAGTAATTTGATGAATGCGTTACAAAAGGGAGTTATGTGGGCCAATTAGGGGGATTGTGCAATTATAATGTTTGCTTTGCCAAGCAAAGGATGTTTGCAACTTGAGGCCTTTTAAAAGATGTTATCTACTTGGAGTCCTTTCTAAGTTAGCTAGCTAGCTAGCTGTATGTCAATTTCTACATCCGTCCCACTTGATTCTGCCACGCACTCACACTCTAGTAAGTGCTTGGGGGATGGGTAAACATTATCTATCTGGATTAAGTGGATAAGTATAGAAGCACAGTAAACTTCAATTGGCCCATGAGACAACAATTTGTGTGGGAGGTCAAATAGAAGCAATATATTTCTCCGCCAGGAGAAAATATTTAATGTAAAAGTGAATAAAAAAATAATAATATTTAATAAGAATATAATAAATGAACAAGTAAATCTTACACATTTTAGTAACCATTTATTCATGTCATTTGGTAATTATCTTATGTAAAAAATAGCAACGCTACGTGATATTAATGACATAATGTCACTCTTGTATTGAATATTAACTAAAAAATGAGACCTCTCATTCTAGAATCCATGGTAATTTAATTTAATTTAATTTTTTTTTCTTGGTAATAGAAATTGCCATAATAACATGTAATAAGGATTGTCCGTATTGGATCTGGATTAGATATTGATCTGTTCATATCTAAATTCGATAAAAAAATATGAGTTTCGAATCCAACTCGTTTACTCGATGGATTTTGAAATCTTATTCCATATTCGCATCTGTTAATAATCGGATATCTAATTTGATTACTTGATCCGATCTAAAAATTTGAATCTCGGGAAAATTTCATAAAAAAAATAATTTTATCAAATTGAAGTTAACTTTCAACCTAATTTAGTCGACCAATCATTCTATTCAATAATTTATGTTTAACTTCATGTCAATTTCATTAATAATCTAACTAAGTACGTATGTATATATAATAATTTCTCTCAATTATATATATATATTGGATTGAGTTTCTATGTATTCAAATTTTAATCCGTTTAAAAAAACTTAATCGAATTCAAGTAAATAAATTCAAATATTAATTTATATCTAATTAAATGAACTCATATTTGGATTGAATTCAAATTAAAATTCACATGCTTACGTGTAAATAGCATGTGAATTTGAGACATGGGTCCCAAAAATCACCCCTCAATGACGAGGTTATGGAAGATGTATAAGTTGGATGTATCTTAAAAAGAAATGATTGTGGTGGGTTTGGATTATCCGCTAACCAATGCGGTGTTGGGCTTAGGCTAATTAGTTAATTAATTACTTTAATCTTTAGCTGACCTTTGTCATCGTTGGCTAAACATCTTTTTCAATTCGGTTATCTTTGAAAATTTTTACAATTTCTTTGCTTTCTACAACAAGTATGCGCATGGGTAGGACCAAAGTGTACTTCCTCTATTGTATATTCCAAGTTCAAGATATATGTTGCATTCCATATTGAAAAATAATTTTTTGTACTATATATTTGATTTTTATTATTTTAATAGGTGTTTTTATAATTTATGTGGGTTATTTTGTAATTATAAAATAATCAATGTTATTGAAACCTAATTTGTTGATATTTGTATTAACTGTAAGGCCCACCAAACATTAAAATTGGGTGTTGATCTAATGACTCTATTGAAATCACATTATTATTATGTCAGCAAATTAAGTCAAATTTTTAGGTTCAAATAGTATTACTCTTATAAAATTTATTATTTTTGTAGGTGATTTATTACTTTTATAGATATTTTTATTACTGTTGTGAGTATTTTTATTACTGTTGTGATAACTATTTTTATCACTTTTCCTATATTAAAAAAAAATTACTATTTTTGTGGGTGTTTTTTGCTACTATTGTAGTAATTTTTTTATAATTTTTTTGGGTACAACAATAATTATAAAATATCCACAAATATAATAAATAAAAATACTATATGCAAAAAAATTTGGTATCATAGTCAAGTCCTAAAATTGATTCTCAACGATGATGAGGCGGCTTTAAGTTTGGGTACGGGTTCGAGCACAATTCAAATTAGGTAAATGCTATGTTACTACAATTATACGGTACCAAAAATTATAATTTTTGAGGTTAAATTATAATTTTATAAGGTGTAAGTTATAATTTGTAAAGAGCATGATCAATTATAAAAGATTGTGATCGATACTGAAAATTATAATTTTTAAGTTTAAGCTACAAGTTTTAAAGGACAAGTTATGACTCATAACGGAGAAAATACAACTTTTTCCGTTAAAAGTGTAATTTTACCATAGAAAGTTATAATTTTCAATACTCTACTAAAAAAAGGTAGACTTTCTCTTTAAATTAAATCAAATTTAATCCAATTTTGCATTTCAATTTGAACCAGGTTTTCAACTAAAAAATGTCTTTAATTTTAATTCGGGCTGTATAGCTTGAGTTCGACTCAATTTAAAAATCTTAAGCATCGTACTACTCAAATTGAGGAGTTTTTGGGTAAAGTTAAGTTTCGAATGAACTCAATCAATGTGTGATATTGTCTGAAACTATTCTAGAACTTTGTTATATGACATGAATTTCTCGTTATGTCTAACTTATTCTTCGATCTAATATTTGATGCATTTTGAATGATACTATTACGTGACGCTTACGATCCATGAATCTTAGTATCTTTCTAGTCGATTGTTAATACCATGACCATAAATCATTTAGAAAATGTCAATGAAGATGTTTAGGGTATCCTACTACTATTCATAGAGTAGACTTTCTATACTTGTATTGTATGTCTCGTTTTACATTAACATATCAAGTAGTTGGGCATAGTGGGGCCCTAAAACATTGTTTTTTACAGGCATGAGTGTGAAGAAAACATAGAGAGAGTAGATGCTCAATTTGTAATTCTACTTAAAAAGACACACTCTCGACTGTGATTCCATAAAACAAAAGGAAAAGACAGACCAATGTGTTGCATACAATACTGTTCCACAAAATGACTTTCCAGTCAAAGGTGTCTTGGTCTTTGTTGTTAAAGAATTGTTGATGCAGTTGTCTCTGCTGCAGAACTTTCCACAAGAAAAGTTTTGAAGGAAAGAAAAAACTATAGGATCCAAGACTGATGTTGACTATTTAAATTGGGCTTAATGGGTGCCTACATTTTTTAAAAATTTTATTCTTGAAAAATTATTCATCATTAGGAGTGAGAGACGTATTATATATATTATAGATCTCATTTGAGTGTATAATAGGTTAATCTTAAGGGTAGTTCAAGTAATAATAGAGACCTAGTTGTAAATTCAGATGTCCTGAGTTCGAACATTAGTAATTCTTTGGAATCAGACTAAGAGGGATTTATACTTTATATTTTTAATACTCTATTCCTGACATAGATGGTTTTGTTAGCCTGAATACCCTGATCATTGAATTAAAAAAAAATTGATAATTGAATTCATTCATAAGGAATTAAAAAAATATTATAATTAAAGTGGATCCCACTACATCTTTAATGATAGGGGAATCTATTAA